AATTAAGCCCAATTGTACCTTTGTTGTTTACTATCTGCATTTTTCCATGGTCACCTTGTCTGATTTGTTTCCTCATTGATGAAAAACCTCAATTTATTTGGAAGAATTTTAACATGTACCGGGTATGCATCAAACTGTTCATTATCAATGCTGAAGAAGCTGGCCTATAAATAAAAAAATAAAAAAAGATTTATTATTGTGACAGACAGATGACACTGTTTGGGAACATTGTGCGCAATTATGAGGCTATGACAACAGTAGTCAGCAAACTGTCATTACTTTTAGTCAGCCAATGGGATGGATTCCACAAGTAAATCCCTACCCATATATATTCATCATGACCATTTTTGGCATGTCACATGTGTTTGTCAAATATAACTTGATAATGTGGATGGAACTAAATAGGCAACAGCTTATTGTTAGTATTGCTATGCTAAGTACAGTGCTTACCTCTGGCTCCACTGGTGTCAACTTAAACTCACCAACTTGCAATGTTTCACTTTGGATCTCAGATTTATTGTCTTTTGCCTTAGATACTCTTCTCCAACTATATAAAAAATTCATGTCAGAAAAAGGGTCACTGGAGAAAAATGCAGTGATTTAACTAGTTGGGGAGGGTGGGGCTGCACTCCCAAATTCCCACTCCACCCCCCCATTGAAAATATTTAAAGCAAAAAATTAATGCGCAAGTAGATAAAAATCACCTCATATCACCTTATTTTGCGAGATAGCGTCCCCTTACTTAATCATCAACCCCCAGTTCACTTTCGTGCCCCTCCCCCTCCTCCACTCCACCTCCGATTTCAAGACTCCTAGATAAACCACTTGAAAGATGGTTAAGCAGAGACTAGCTAATTGAACTCTGTAGATTGTGAGGATACTGCCCTTTCAATTACAAGATTCCTGAATTAAAAATCCTATCAAAAGATACAACTCCCTCAGACTGATTTAAGGACTTGCAAGATTATAAGACATTAGGTCTCTTTTGGAGAACTGGTTACATAAACAAACAAACAAAATTTATATCAATAATAATGTTTCATAATAGTTGTACTTTCCTTACCCTTCTTTGATGAAGCCTGTTTTTGTGATGTCAGTTGGCAGGGTCTCTATACTCATGCTTCTAGTAGTATGCTCATGCTTCTAGTAGTCTGTAGGAAAAGTACAGTACATAATATTATATCAAAAGCAACTACCAAAACATTACATCTTAGTGCAAGGAGTATGGTAGTAAATATATCCCATATCTCATCTGTATATGATACGCGACATTCCTATGCACTATCAGTACGCAAGCACTGCCTCTTGGCACAGGTGAAGGTTGACTTATTTCACAGGGGTCAAAAGATTCCGGAAATGAACCCATCCCCACAGATCTCCGGAAATGACTTCTTCCGACTTTGGACCCCTGTCTTCATATTATGTTTATGTTTGTTCACGTTTTTTTTTTACCTTTAAAGCATTTTCTACATTATCATTATGTGTTTCAGCAGAAAACTCAAGCGTTGATACATCAACCTCTTTCCAAGGAATCTCCTCAACTTCTTCAATTTCTGGTTCTAAGAAATTCATGGAGAAAAGAAATGTTCTAGTTAATACTTCTAGTACAAGAGCATTTTTCCTTGGGCGAGCCTATATTTTTTCAATATATCCTTCACAATAGAGAATAGTCAACAAATAGTTTTTTTTTCTTTAATAAGGCTATTTTAAATTCAGTATATTACTATTGTACAATAAAATTTTGGGTTTTTCTCCACTGGTCACTTTCAAAATACCTTTTTGCTCTGTTCTCCAAATCCAAGAGAACAAGCGACTAAAGAAACTATACTGCTGTTGATTAACCTCTGGTTCTTCAGGAACATCTACAGGTGGACGATATGCAAGATGAGCTTTAAATACAGGTGGCCATTCCTATTTAGAAAATAAATTTTTATCATTGCGTGCTTAAAATTCAATTTCACAAAACTAAAGTAATTTTAACCACAATTGTAAAAAACCATAAATTGTTATCATAATTCATTGGTTGATTAACCCCTTGAGTTTGAGTTTCTTATTTAATAAACAAGGAAGAAAAACAAAAACCTACAAAGCTACCAGGAAATCATTTCTAAGATAAATCATTAAAATCATTGTTGCAATTGTTAAATTTACATCAATAAATTTTATAAATATTATTAATATTATTATTATTAGTATCAATATATTTACAATTTGTTATAAAATGATTACATTAAAATTGAGTATCAAAGAATAGCTTTCTTACCTGAACAGTTGCAAAAACATATGCAAATTTGGACTTTAGTGGTCCTAAGTACCAATACCTGTAGAAATGAGAAAGTATTTAATTTGGTAAAAAGTATTTAATTTGCTTTGATATTACTGTACAGAATCCCTGACATATCCAAGACACATGTAACTATAATAATATGAATGTGTGTACAAAAGTATTATTTACATCAAGCAAGTAGTGTATATACTGTAATTTATATCAATGCTTACTTGGGAATTCTATCTCGTACATTTCTGTATTCGCCCCATTCCAACTTGGACAATCCATACACCGACCTTCCTTCAGAATCCTACAAACATTCATTAACAATAATAATAATTAATATTTATATACATTTTTTTTACTTTAAGTATAGCAGTGTCATTTATCATCAGGTACTACCTACACAAATTTTCCATTTTGTACTGGAATTCTGAGACAC